ATATAATGTATATATAGCAGTACATCATGTGTTTATAATCCCATCATAAATCTTGACTGCAACAGTTTTCACATCAAGTACATCTTGAATCATCGCTCACATCCTCCTGAGAAAGCGCCACATTGGAAGCCTAAGAGCACTTTGAGCAAGCTTGATGAATCAAACACAGACCACAACATTTCAGACCGGTGTAAACAGTTTGAAGAGTGTCTAACGCTCGATATCAAGTTTGCCGGGTCCCGGTACAGTCTCAGGAACAAAAGCGGACCCCGTGAAGACTTCCTGAACTCGACGTGGCGCTGACAGTTTGCGAGCTCGCTCGGACGACACTGCGGTTATCGAGGCCCGACGGATCCGAAACACAGACGCTGCTGTGTGTGTTCGCAGTGGGGACGCCGATTTAGCAGAGGTGGGGCAATGCAGGGCAACAACAGGTTGCTTTATAAGGGCCAAATAAACAGCTGCAAGAGTGTGTGTGTGTGTGAGAGAGAGTGTGTGTGTGGTGTGTGTGTGTGTGTGAGTGAGAGACTGAGTGTGTGGGTTCATCAAAATGAATGCAGGGAGTGTAGCAGGGATGTAAGGGAACTTAGGTGCTCATGTAATTTTAATGAGTACTTGTGTAGTGTGTGTGTGTGTGTGTGTGTGTGTGTGTGTGTGTGTGTGTGCTGCAATCCCTCTCCAGGGGTGAAGATAAAATATTGTCTACAGTCTATATACAGTCAGTTTCTACTGTACTCTGCTCTCTACTTACAGTCTACACACAGAGTGTTGAAACATCATCTGCTGAAAATCAATCGTTCACACATTCCTCTCATCTGCTCTCTCTCTCTCTTTATGATTCTTCACACACTTTGTAGGCTAAATCAGCAGATCATGCTACACACACACACACACACACACACACACAGCACACACACAGGGCCACATCTGCCATCAGTCTTGAAGTGGTTTCTCTGTTTCCAGTGTCTGACAGTAGTTAGCTGCAAGCGATTCAAACACTCACACACGCACACATATACACACACACGCACACACACACACACACACACAGGGTCCTGGAGTGTGGGAAACAGTCAGCTGTTTTAATGTATAACACACACACCAGTTTCAGGTTTTACAAGACCATCAGAGGGAGCGACTCAGTGGGTCTGCATACCAGAGAGAGAGAGAGGGGGGGTGAGTGGGTGAGGGTGAGGGAGGGAGCAGAGGAAGAGGTGGAGGTTCATGCTTCGTCTGTAGATATTTTCATTAAAACTCAACTGATATTTCTCCTCGAGTGCGGCTGCTAATGAGGAAATACATTATTAATGGCCACCGCTCAGTTACAGTGCACTTCAGTCCTATAACAGACTCTCGTTTGAACTGATCGGTATCGGCTCTGCAACCTTTACCTTCAAAAGAAAGAGAGTAAGACTGGTAGCCGCAGCTGAGGTTCGGCAAACTAAAGACAGGAGAAGGCACCAAAATGTTAAAAATAAAATATTTATTCTGTGTGTAACGGCTACATCTTTTTACAGTTGGAGAATGTAAGAATTATTTAATGTAGTTTTTAGTCAAAGCCACAGAAGAGAGGCTGAAGAGCCACATGTTGCCTGTGTTGAGCTTTATTGACCATCACGACATCCCTGGTTTTATTTTACACAAAGTATAAAATAAACTCTCCGATCTGTTAAAAAATGCTTTGATCTCTGAGATGGGATCAGGACATCCGCATTTTGTTTCTTGATGCAGTTAAGTTTTTGGTTTATTTTAGTGACTTTAATGTACTTAACACAGTGCACATTGCACACTTTATCTAAAAGAAAACACTTGATCGTCCCTCATCAGTCGACTCTTCTTCTCCTCGACTGATGGTTCGACGTTCAGGGAGCAGACCTCGTTCTACATTGAATGAATCTTATGAAAAAGACCTAAATCAACAATGGAAGAAAGGAAGAGAGAACGGAAGAGTGGAGGGTTGAAAAAGATGTAAATTGGAAGCAGAAAGGAGATGTTGAGCTCAGATTTATGACATTATGGAGGAAGAGGGAGGAATTAGTAACAGACGTAAAGGAGAGAAGGATGGAGGACGGAGAGGAGAGAGAGAGGGAATTAGAAACTGGTAAGGGTGGAAGATAAAGGAAGTAAAAGAGTGGTGAAAGGCATTATGGGATTGATCGGTGGTAGAAAACCGACACGATGACACGAACAGAGAGATTTACAGATTAACAGGTCCGGAGATCAAAGGTCACCTGGGCAGCAATGAGGCTGATTGACGGAGGGGAGGGAGCCAGGGGGCGGGGTCAGATCAGGTCAGGTGATTGACAGCTGCTGGAGGAGACAGAAAATGAAACTCTTTATATAAAAACATTTAATGGTTGCAGTTTGTGAAGATTTGCTTCTTTTCCTTTTTAATATTAATAATTTGTATTTATTTGTGATCATTTTGGGTCATTTGTGACGACATTTCCCATTATTTTTTGCATTTTTAATCAACAAAAAATCAACGAATTCATGGAGAAAATGATAGAAATAGTCATAATAATCTAATAATATCATATTTAATAATACAGCAGCAACAGTTTAATACTTTAACCACATTTTACTGATTATACAGACTGTTATACAGAGTAACATTTAACAGCGTATGCAGGATTTATTAGTAGTTTTAGTACTTACTGAAGGAAGTATCCGCATACTACCTCCATTACTGCCTTTTCCAATAATAAATCTTATTTACAGGATAAGAAAACAGGAACATTCCTCTAATATTTGCTTTTTTTTTTTCTTGTTAATGACTGGATCATAACCGCTCTGAACAAGAATTACTACTGATTAAGTTCCTGATGCTAAAAAGTTGCCTTAATACAAATTTGGATCAATAAAACAATTATAATTAAACATCCCTGCTTTTAGCTTTTAGTTTTAAAAACAATGCAATAAAATACCTTGGCTGTGCTGGTCCATAGGACTCTGTGGAGGCCCCATACCACTATGCAGAGATCTCATCCCTACACCTTTCATGTGACCGAAGTGCATCGCATCTGCCATGGTCTTGTCATTCATCCCCTCCATGGTCTGAAGATAGGAAAAAAAAACATTCAAGATTCATTCAACATATTTTCTCAGACATCATATTTCTTCTTATGCAACCCTGAAATGAACACCTAGAGTATGACGAAATCAATCTGTCAATCAAATATCCCACATAATTAAATATCAATATTGTTAAAAGGCAAATGACTCATCTTACACCTTGCACAGAGCAAAACCACATTTCTCTTTCTATTCAATAACAAGTATACATAACATTAAGCATAACATAAACATATAGATCCTAAAATAAACAAAAAGAAACATATTGTTGCTTTCTGGCTGTGTCCAAGAGACACTTTCTAAATGACCTTAAATCTAATTATATGTCTGATTAAAACTCCACAGAAACAACTGACCTGTTGAAGACACCACAGAGATATAAAATAACTACCACAACACTGTCCTTTTAACCAGTAGTAATGTCAAAAGACACTTTACCTTGTGCATTGGATACATGCTGTCCTGAGAGTAATCACTTTGTCCCTGGCCCTGCATGCCATGAGGTGCGTTGGGTGTTCCAGGTCCAGGACTGGGTCCCATCATACTGTGGACAGAGCCTGGTGAGGGGTCCGGTCCAGGGCTGGGGCCCAAGATGGGCCCTGGGGATAGGCCTGCCCCAGGAGAAGGGCCAGGATGGGACATACCACCTGATGTGTCTGAAGGGGTGGACATCTACCGAATTGCTGGGAGGACACCACACAGCTTCAGGGGGGAAAAGTACAGACAGGATTGTAATGAAAGGCAAACAATACAAGTTGAGCTGCATTTCGTGCATGAAAGTGTTTTAATTTAACTGCTCTGAGGCTGTTTCAATAAAATCTGATCATGATAAGCTAAAAAGGGCACTCTTTGCTGTTGTACAGGATTATAACTGTCTTATGTATCTGCAGCCATTCACTTTGCATTTTCATTTTAAGCCCTATGCAGTAACACAGTACCTGCTTTGGACGGCATTAGTAAAAAAATGAGGTGGCCTGTAAAAAAAAAAATATATGATATATATTTTGGAATATATATGATATATATTTTGGAATATATATGATATATATTTTGGAATATATATGATATATATATTTTGGAATATATATTATATATGTCTGCCCCTTTATCATATAAAAGTTTTTTTTCAACTTGCCATATACTGTAAACACAACATCCAAGTTTAATTTCAGTCCCCTCTCTAATATCCGCTGTCAATAAAGGCAACAATCCCCCCGAAACCCCTCTGGAACCAGAGCCAGTGCTATATAAAAGCCTCATTTTCAACCAGGAAGAGCCCGGAGTAATATCCACATCAAATCCACCATTACACATGAGCTGCACTGAGTATACGGACTACAAACCCCGATGTAAACAAGCGTCTGTCTTCAGTGGTTATCTGCTCAGACTGTGCCCTCAGCTGGACGTCTTTCAGCCTGACTGACCACTTGTCTTCGCCACACTAGAAACTGTCCACTCTGTTACTTTCTGCTGTCAAACCTCAGACTTATAATTGTAAGCATTACACAAGTAAGGGTGTCAGTATCGTACCGTAACTACGACCACCATCAGGGCTGTCAACTAACATACGTTAACTGCCAGCAAAAGTAACGTTTGGACAGGCCGTATTTAATTACAGCGTTAAAACAGGTGTCTAAATAACACAATTTCCAAGAACACGCAGAAAAAACAACACGATAAAGATCATATAAATGAGTTAATGTTCGCGTTACGTGTCTGTTTTCGGACTATCCCTGTCGTTACAGTAACGTTAGCTCGGTAACGACCTGCCGAGGAACAAACGCTAACTCTGATTGGATCATGGCTTCCCCCAAAACTGGTGGCCATCACGGATATGAAGGCAAAATCAAAGTTTAGGTGAAAGTCAAGCTCTTGACATGACCTTGGCGACGTATCTACAGACGAGGACTTTATTGTTACACCTCTAAAGCAGCGCGGTTTCACACAACAAGCAACTTGGGAGGCTTTAGTCTGTCTGCATCGCTCGATCGTTGGGGAACTGAGCTAACAGCTAACTAGCCACTAGCCCGCTAGCTTCGCCCGGGTGGCGCTGGTTGTGTTACACGAACTGTGTCCATGTCAGAAAGTTTGGACAGTTAGCCGTACGCTGACTAATTAGTTACATGCCAGTATTTATCAGAATGAAGCGCTGTTAGTCGTGTTACCTTTCGGCTGAACTGTAACTGCACGCAATTAGGTGAAAATATAATTTTTCTTCAAAATATGACTGCTATCCATAAGTTCACTCCCCCTCGGTGTTGTCTTGCTGACATATTAAACTTTTTTTTGTGTGTAGCCATTACTGATTTGTCAATGTCACCGGAAGTCCCGCCTACCTCCACCGTGATTGGCTGGATCACATGTCAATCATCTTATGTTGTTTTTTTTGGGGGGGGGGGGGCGTGTTTGTGCCCTGTAACCATTTCTGTAACTTTATGGTTGAGTGCAAACAGGACGATATTCGAGTAAAAGTTTAGTATAAGCTTGGTGATTTAGTTTGAAGCATCAACCAGTAATATCATTAAAATATTATTCTGACAACTTGTGGTTAATACTGTGATAAATACCAGTGCAAATGGGAAAGAGGTTTTGATCTACTATTAGTGCTAAATCCTCTTCCTGCTTTTGACAAAACATTCATAAACCTTATTTATTTCCTAAATTTTCTATAATTATAGATATATACTGTTGTTTACATACATACACTGGTGGAATGTAACTATTTAAAGGTACTTGTATTTTACCTGAGTATATGTTATTGTATTCTTCCACTACATTTAAGAGAGAAATATTGTACTTTTGCACCACTACAGTTATTTTACAGCTGTAACTGCACCAGTTTACACACAGAACCCATAAGCTTATAAAATATGATGCATTGTAACTGTGTATAAAGTAGCACCAATAATACAATACTGAGGGGACACTATATGCTGCATAATGAGCACTTTTACTTTTGATACATTAAGTAAATATTGCTGATAAGATTTCTGCAGTTTTACTTAAATAGAATTATGAATGCAGGACTATTACTTGTATTTTTGCATTGTAGTATTGCTACTTTTACTTACATAAAAATAATTGAATACTTAATAAAGTAATTTCCCCCTGGGATTATTAAAGTATTTCTGATTCTGATTCTGATTCTGAATCCACCCTCGTTAGACACATGGAGCCACGGGGCTATGCAGTATAGAGAAGTACAGCACCTATGAGCAAAAAAAAGTCTATATTAACACATTACAATGAAGAATTTATGTGAAAGAAAGAATTTAATATCATAAATCAAATGAAACATGTTTTTTTTACAGACTGGTTTTATATTTCTGGGTGTGATCAGAGAGAAAACTTCAGCAATGGACACTCACAGTCCCACATTTAATAAAGGGTCTAAAGTTTGGACATTTTCATATATGGTGGCCATGTTAAAGTTTGGGGAATGTAGATGTTTCTATGTGAAAACTTTAAAGCTACTTAGGGAAAAAGTTCTGAAAGGTCTATAGGCTCTCCTTAAAATGAACACAAGATGGCAGCAGTGACCAGAAGTTGCCTCAGTGAACTGGCCTCTGCAGCTCTGTGCTGTAACACAGAAGCACCTGGCAGGTAATGAATTACCACTGACATCTGAGCGCTAAAAAAACATGCCAAGCCCAGAGTGATGTAGTGCTACCTCTCGTTTACATACACTAACTAAGTAAGTCTGGTGATGGCAACGTGGAGTTTCAAAGGCAAGGCCATGCAAATAATGCACAGGTTTAGTTAAGCCCCATTTGCATCCTTCTGATATCAGAAACGTTGTTTTGTTTTCATCCTGAAAAGATAAAGCTGTTTTTACTGGGACATTTGTTTGTTTGAACTCGACTGAGCAATTTTTTTTTCTCTCCTGTTTTTTTCTACGTAGCACAGTTCATAATTTGTCTTCATTTACATCAAGTGTATCTTATCCAAATAAATTAAAATAAATATTATAACTAAACCTTTTTAGGACTGAAATGTGTCAGTATTAAGTAAGTAAATAAGTAAATAAGTCATAAGGAAATACATATTTTTAATGTGTTATTGGCTCCATCAAATACACCCAAACTCCACTGGATGCTGTATTCTATCCATCTGTCTATCTGTCTATCTGTCTGTCTGTGTATCTATCTATCTATCTATCTAAGTGATGACATTTAGATGACCTTGTAAGACATTCAAAGCACTCCATCCTGATAGCACATCATTTGAATACCTCACATATCAATAAACAAAGCCGCACATTTCAACTTTGATCTTAACTTCCCCTCCTCAACAATTCTGCCCTTTTTTATAAGTCTTCATAAAGGATGTGCACAGAGTTCCTGAATGTAAATTTTACCCAAATAAACAAACCTAATTAACTTTGTGGTTAAAACCGCCGCCCCCTTCAAATTCACCGAGCCAGGAAAGGGCTCAGCCGCAGTCATTTGGCAGTGAAAGGATTAGTGGTTGTGGCTTCCATTCACCTTGAAACCCTCCGTAAAAGGCTCTGGTGAATCAGTAGCGTGACATTTTATTCAAAGTCTACAGGATTTTAAATGGATGGGCTGAACAATGGCACAGATGCAAAGAAGGCCCCTTGAATTCATCCTTCTTCCCTCTTTTTCTTTGATAAATACCCTTGCTTCGTTTGTCTCTGCAAAATGAACTAAATCTAACCTGAATCAGGATGCCCACAGAATGCAAAGCACTATGTACCAATAATAATACTCGAACATATTTCCCATCTTTCTTTTGGGTCTTTTCTTTTCATTGCGTTGTCATTTTACTTTCTAAATAGCAATTAATCCCAGTATAGAGCAAATACAATTAGTCAAAAGTATAATTATTTTACCAATAGACGGTAATTTGAAAGCTTTAAAAGTTACCCAAACTTTAGTTAGAAACTCTAATTTCTGTGAGAGACTTTAAACTTGCAGGTATTTTTGATCGTGATTGTTTTGTTTAGTGGGTCTGTGTGTGATGGCTGCTTTGTGTGACTTTTTGTTATCTTGTATATGTTGTATATAAACAAGAGATCTTGATCTTAATGGGATTCAACTGAGCTTAACTGACTTTCTTCCCAATGTATTAGAATTTAGGTAGCACAAGTGATTTTGTTAATTTATAGAGCAATCATTTTGTTAATATTTGGTGGTTACAGCATTACTATTGGCAAGATTAAATTGCTTTCCTACGTTTTATGTCATTTATGTCATAGTGAACACATCACTCTGGGCAGCAATTGACATTCTTTTTAATACTTCATAGACTGAAGGATTAACCAGTTTATTGATTGATTTGATTTGATTTGATTTCCACAAAGCTAAAAATGAAAAAAAGTGCTTAGAAATATGTAGTGTACAATACATGTGTGTAAATAGTTATCTCTGATCAGTTGTTAAATTTCATACATACACACCATAATTAATATGCCCCAAAACAAAGTCTTTCTCCTGTATGAATAAAGTACCAAGGTAACACACAAATAAAGCATGCAGTGAGACAAGGCCTTTTCTTATATCCTGCTAAAAAAACATTTAAATAAGAGACAAAGTGGATTTAAATGAACCACTTACTTTAAACACAAATGCTAAATTCAAATTCTTAAAAACGAACTAAAAACTACATTACAACAAGATTTCAGTGATAAATTGCTGTATCTCTTATGAAAAAGTGACGGAAAATGTGTTATGTACATATAGCAGATTCTGGCATAAATTGTTTAGCATCATTTTTTAAACAGTGAATAGTTTTAACTATGACATATTGTGACATATTGGAACAAATCTGTGTATCATTAATCTACATGTATTATATGGTATTTGTATTGAATTATATTTAGGAGCCTTACAAAAAAATGAAAGGATTTTGTCTATCTGTTGTTTGCATTTAGTTTTACTGTCAAGCATCAGACACACAACAGGCAGACATGCACAGACATCTACACACACTTGTGCATGTGCACACGCACTGTGTTGTTATCCACAGGTGTGTGCAAACAAAGGGTATGTTATAATTAGCTTTACATGAGCCACTTTTGGCAGCGAGCTGTTTGTTTTTACTCTGTGTTATTTGAGAGTCCCATTTGAATAACCAGTGCTTACATTGTGGTGCACTTATTTTATTTCTGAATCAGATGATGGAGTGTTTGTTTAAACAGAGAAGACAGCCGGCATCGGAATAATAAAGAGGCAATATTTACTAAGAGCAGACACAGTAGTGCTTGTTTAGTAACAGTTTACATTTGATTTGTTGCTACTTGTGTAGGTTTTTATTACAGTAAGCATTGTATAGAAATTATGATTGATATCAGCAACTGAAAGAACTTCCTCATGTGTCCTTTTTCTTATTCTATTTCTTTTTCTTTTCTTGTATTTTCTTTCCCTTCTATCATCTTTAGCTCTAACTCTTTTTGCATCTTCACTCACAACACTCTCCAAGCACCTTTTGATTTGATTTGTCAACGGAGCAAATAGCCTTCTGGCTAACTTTTGCCATTTCAGAGGACCAGTGTGCAGGATTTAGTGGCATCTAGCGGTGGCTGTTTTTATCTTTAGATAAAAAATGCTTCATTCTGAGGTAAATATTTGTTTTAAAGGGACTAATCAAAACATACGTATGAATATTATATTCCATTTCAGCCGATAGATCCTCCAAAATGTTACACACTGGACCTTTAAATGCTGGTGTGACCAGGCTTTGTCTGCTGCTGTTTTTCGTCTTTTTCACCTTTTTGCTCTTTCACTCAATAATCATCATTATTATTACCAATAGTGATAACAGTATTGCCGTTTCATCAGAACGTGTCGGAATCATGATAATAACAGTATTACTTTATGCAGTGGTATAGTTCGCAGACATTCTCAAGTTATTGATGTCTGTTAGTCATCTTCAAAACTTATTGCGTATAACATTACAAGAGCAATCCACATTCAGACCGACTGTTGGAAAATACAGGAGTTTAGTGTCTGCATGGTTGACTTTTGGATCTCAGAGGTGTCCAGTTTGGCCCCGGCTGTTGTGTCGTCTCAGTAAAGGATTTCCTAAACATCATTATTGGCCAACTGGCTGCTCGCTCTCTCTCAGCTTTATCCCTTGGCCCTCTGACCAGCGTTTGTTATTTCTCTCTTCAAGTGCTTCTCCTGAAAGGAAAACTTCTGCAAGATTTACGGGCAGGTGCACCGTGCCCTCCTCCATCACTCCACCCTCAATTTCTGCCTGCCGGTGCTCAATTTGCAAGCGCTGCTTTTGAGCTCCCTCGAGGGACCGGCGTCTGGTCCAGAGCAACGGCGCTGAGAT